CAAAGTTCCTAATTCTGAATTTTTGAAGTCCCCACCAATCCTTTGGTAAGTTAAATTGGCTTCAATTCACAATTACATCTAGAACAAGGCTGTCAGTACGATCTGTGTTGAATGAAGTGATGGCCTTTTTTACAATGTTTCATGCCTAGATTTGGATTCTTTCACATTTTCCCTTCCAGGCTGGAGATGTAGGAAAGAAGGCTACAAAAAAGGAGGAAAGTGAAGAAGAAGAAGAAGAAGAAGAGGAAGAGGAAGAAAATGAAAATGAAGAAAACGAAGCAGAAGTGGATGAGAATGGGCAAGGCGTGAACGGCACTAGCACCAACAGCACAGACGCAGAAAATGGCAATGGCAGCAGTGGCGGGGACAATGGAGAAGAAGGAGAAGAAGAAGGGGAAGAAGAAAATGCAGAAGGAACCACAGTGGCCGGAGAGCAGGACAATGGCGGGTCGGAACCCACCACGCCACCACAGGAGGCCTATGGGACCACCCCTCCACCCCAGGGGGGAACCACTACCACTGAGTATGAGGAGGAGTATGAACAAACAGGCACCAACGAGTATGACAATGGATATGAAGTCTATGAAAATGAGAATGCGGAACCTCGAGGGGACAATTACAGAGCCTACGAGGATGAGTACAGCTACTATAAAGGGCGTGGCTACGATAGCTATGATGGTCAAAATTACTACTACCACCAGTGAAGGCCCAGGCTGGGATGAAGTCATCCATTTTGGTGTATCATATGGCTACAGTGTTCAATGTTCAACTCAGGAAGGTGCAATGTAACACATGTGCATATAATAATGTGGAATGGTGCTACTGTTCCAAAGGGATTTTCTGTAATTGCTTCTGCAAGTGACGGGCTTCATGCTGCTTTCCCCTGGTATGTTATTGAGAGGTCATTGTAAATCAGGGTCATTTGTCAAGTGGTAAACAAATCCATGAGATCGCGTTCAATTGAATGTTTTGAAGTTGTAGTTGTTCTATAAGTAGTATTTTTTAACGTGTTCGCTCTATTACTGCTAAAACATACTTTTTGTGCAAGAAGTGCTTCTAAGAAGAAACTCATTGACATTAGTGACACTGTATACAATAAATGTGTAATTCTTTAATCATACTCCCTATCCAACACTGTATAGTTTATTATCATCCTCATGTATTTTTATGTGACCTGTATGTATATTCTATTATGGGTTTTATCACAAATAAAAATGCAATCCTTCAAATGTGTTATATGAAGAAAAGTGAGAGATTAGGAATGAAAACAATGTGAGGCAAGTAGGAGGACAATTCAGCTAAAAGGATAAAAGCTTATTTCCACCATAATTGAAAATTCAGAAAAACTATAAACATTTTCTTATAGATAAATCAACTTAACTAAGATTTTTACATGCTTGTGGGCAGGGTCAGCCATATACATCAGGGGGAACAAATGGCTGTTATTAGGGTTACCATATTTAACAAATAAAAAATATGATGCCTTTTAAAAATTGAATTACAGGTAAACAATGAATAATTTTTAGTATAAGTATGTTCCATGGAATATTTGGCCTTTGTGAACTATTTGGACCATACTTATATTAAATGATTCATTGTTGCCTGAAATCCAAATTTAATAGAGTGTTCTGTGCTATATCTGGCAACCCTACTCCTATTTAATTTGCTTTAAGGTGTGGTAGGGAATAGGGTAGGATATTAAACACTTAAACACACACACCACACATACATACACAGAACTGATATGCAAACCCTTAACTGCAATTTATGCTTTAATCTAACCCTAAAAACAAATTTCTAATGGGACTAGTAAAGGAAAGTGAGTAGTGGTAAGAAGCAAGAAGACAAAAATTTATTCATCTTATTATTTAGTCATGTATAAGTTGCTTTGAGCATTGACTATGGAGCAGGACAATGTTTAGACACTGAGTATATGAAAACAAAGAATCCTGTCCTCAAAGTGATTTCCATCTGATAACTAACAGTTGTAAGGTATTACATGCATCAATTCATTGTCTTCTCACTTTTTATTTTGAAAAATACAAAGCTTTCAGAAAAGTTGGAAGACTAGTACATGAGCACGTTTATTACACCTTTCACCTAGATCTACCAAGGGTTAACACTTTACAATATTTATGTTACCTCTTTCTGTCTATTTCTGCATGTCTGTCTTCATATACATATGTGTATATACTTCTTTTCCAAATGACTAGAGTGATTGTAGATATCATAACATTATGATTCTTCACCCTAAATACTTTAAAATTTGGTGTAAGAATAAGGGATTCATATACATAATCACAATACTATTCTCTTTCGTAAGATGTAATATTTTCTAATATACAATCTATATTCAAATTTTCCCAATTATTACAATAATTTCCTTTATTGCTAATTTATTCAATTCTTGCAAAACTCTATCAGGCACAAAGACGTTATCTGTGAAGTCTATTTATTTATTAATACCCCAAAGTTATTCATTTTTATATAGCAAAATTGGTTCATCTTTCCCTCATGGTTTCTTCTTTTGCTTTTGACTCATGTAATGTGGGTAACCATTATCCTCCCTCAGGGATTTGAGCTAGCTCACTTCCATCCCTGAGTGCAGAATGATAACTATTCTCCAACATTGCTCCAAGCATCTAGGCGTCTCCTTTAGACTAGTGGGGTTTGTTAAGAGAACTGTGGCAAAGTATTTCTTAGAGTAGGAAATGCCAGCCAGCAGAGGGAAGATTCCTGGCCTCCCCTGAGACACCAGCATGAGTAGGCGGTCAGATGTTGTAGTCTATAGACAACCAACTACCCAAGGGCCATCTAAAGTTCTTAGATGAAGACAAAGGGGTGGGCTGGTGAGAGCTATGATTTAACACAATTCCTGGGCACTCCAATGCCTCGTTCAGTAGTCCTTTCAATCATACCTGCAAAATCTTCTGTATGGAAACCCCCCTCTTGAAATATTTATCCTACTTAGGATCACATATTAGAGTCCTAGCCTTCTTCTGTCATCCTAGCTAGCTAGGCTTGCTGGTCTCTTGTGCCAAGTTCTCTTTGACTTGCCCTACTAAAGCTCTATTTTCTGTATTCCCCCATGGATGACCTATTTGGAAGAAATTTGATGAGAATTCAAAATATTTGAAAAGAAATGAGAACACTTTTATTCTTCCAAGATAATCCTTCCCCTGAGAGTGAATCAAATGGCTCTTTTTAATGGAGAAAAGATTAAGAATGAAGTAAGCTATGCTCATGGCATCTCTTCACCAGGATGCTTATCCTTTCTTGCTCCAGATGGAATCACAAAGCACTTTGCCAAGACTTGGGAAGGAGCGCACTCAGTCCTTGCCCATGTGTCTATCTGGAAACAGGGCAGGTTGTCAGGAAGTGCAGCAAAGCTCCTCCCCTACATGCCTCTTCCAGATCCCAAAACTTGGGAGGCTTATGAGTGTCCTGGGCCATTCTAAAGGAGGCTGGCCACACAGGGGAGTTGGCATAAGAAAAAGAAAAAAAGGTCTTAAGGCATAAAGAGGATTACTTCTCTGAGTTGAGCCATGGCAGGCATGCAGGCCCTTGCCAGGCAACAGTGTGCTGAGAGGCTTCTCAGCACAGGCCTCACGGTGGGGTGGATGTCTGTGAGTGTCAGCATGGCCACAGGGCAGCTGCTTCTCAGAGACGACTCTGTCCCTCTCCCTGTGATCATAGGCCCTGTTCCCTCATTTCAAGTCCCTCTTATTTCCTTCAGCATGATGCCTCAATCAATATCCTCCCCAGACAGTAACCTGGGGTGTGTGCATATTTAATCTATGGGAAACAATGAATAACTCTCCTTCAACCCTTTCAATGTATTAGGTGACATAAATTCTATACCCTGCTTCTTTCATGGCTAACCCTGTGAATGTCCTACCACCCTTTCTTCTCTTTACTTAGAGACCATGGGTTTCATTCTTTACAAAATTTTCACCTTGAAAAGCTAAAGCTTTGTCTTTCAAAATGATTGCATCTATTGAGAGCTCCAAAGGCCTATTTCAGAACCAAAAAAACAAAAGTTGACTTTCTTTCCACTTGGATTTCACTTATAAAACAAAACAAAATAAAACACAATCCATCTCTAGGCAAAGTGAGTCATTCTGAATGATGAGAAATAATTAAAGTGAGAGAGAAAAGTAGAAAAATAAATACTCTTTTGAAAAGGATAATCCAATATCAAGAAATATTAGTCTCACTTAGAAAAAGAATCAATATTAATTAAAAGGAAACAATGAAGCAATCACTTGGATGTTTTGTTTCAGCAAATGCAAATATTTGTAAATATTTTCTGCCCTTAGATTTTGAAAATACTTAGTGGGTTAAAAACTCATTAACTTGATTTGTTGGTCTAAGACTGAGAGTTCCCATGCAAATTACATTCTATTATATTCTGTTCTTTCTCAGGATATTTCCCCCTTGCATTTCACAACACCCAGGGTCCAACAAAGTAAGACCTCCATCAATGTGTACACAACTTGTCTTATCTCTTTTTATAATACAAATTCAAACTTCAATATTTTAGTCAGAGGTAATCAAACTTTCTCTGCAGAGCAAAAGTTAGCAAACTTTTTCTGTAAAGGATAAGATAGTAAATATTTTTGGTTTTGTAGGCCATATGGTTTCTGTCACAACTACTCAAATCTGTCATTGTAACAAAAGCAGCCATAGATAGTATGCGAACAAATTGGCTTGGCTGTGTTCCAATAAAACTTTATTTGCAAAAACAAATGATGAGTCAGATTTGGCCCACAGACTATAGTTTGCTGAATCCTTATTTAGATGATTGACTAAAGTCATTACTATGAAGAACTGATTAAAATTTTAGCTGTTTAATCACTTAGGATATAAACAAAGGATCAGTGAACTCATTATCTTTCTCTTCTTCCAACTTGAAACTTGGTCCTTTGTTTTAAACTCTTAAAAATTAGTAAAATATCTGGTGTTTAATACAGTAATCGGTGAGTTATCTCCTTTTTGCAAATACTTGATAAAATGCTCCCTATAGTTCCTGGGCCTAAATGCATCAAAGTATTATCTTTGATAAGTAATATTTGAGGATATCTCCTTCACTATACTAATTATCTTTTGAACTTTTATGGAAAGATATTATCAGGTAAGTCTCAACATTTAGTCAGCTGAGAGAAAGCATGATCTTTATTCTAGCTGTGGGATAGTTATGTAAAGACTGCACAACATAAGCCATTACTTATTCTGTGTAGAATGGATTATCATCAAATCTAGTATTGTGATAATAAATTCTGAGTCAACGTGACTGGGCTGAGGGGTACCCAAATTAAACATTATTTCAGGATGTGTCTGTGAGAGCATTTCTGGATAAGATTAACATTTGAATGGTGGACCACAGTAAAGTTGATTGCCCTCAATAATATGGGTAATCATCATTTAACCCATTGAGGCCTGAATAGACAAAAGGCCTCAGAAAGGAAGAGGCCTCCTGAGAAAGGACAGAGTATAACAAATATAATTTGCATGAAAACTTTTATTCTTAGCCCAACAAATCCAGTTAATGAGTTTTTAACTCACCGAGTATGTTAGGTCTTAAGCCATCATGTAGGAAGTCCCGCCTATTCTGCTGAAGAGAGATGTCACATGAAGAAGCACCAAGGTGCCATGTTGGATGTGCAGCCTGGTCAAGTCTTGACATAACTTTTACACCTGCCCCTCTCTGACTGTCTGAAATGAGAGATTCTGAGTGAGGACCTTGCAGCTGAGCCAAGTCAACCCATAAAACCTTGAGAAATAACAATAAATTGATGTGTTTTTAAAATATAATATTTTGTATTGATTTCAGAGAGGGAGGGAGTGATAGAAACATCAATGATGAGAGAGAATAATTGATTGGCTGCCTCATGTATGTCCCCCACTGGGGATCAAGCCTGCAACCGGGGCATGTGCCCTGACCAGGATCTAACCATGACCTCCTGGTTCATGGTTCAGCTCTCAACCACTGAGCTATGCCAGCCAGGCAAATGGGTGTCGTAAACCACTAAGTTTTGTGGTAGTTGATTACATAGCAATAGATAACTGGAACAGTAACTGACAAGCATAGAGAAAATCTTAGTTCATGAGAATTAAGAAAATCATGAGAGAAGAGCTAAAATAAAATAACAATGCAGATAAACATGA